CTCGTGAACAGTGACGAGCCGAGCGGGCTCGGCTCGTCTAGCCCATGAGCCCGCTCGGCTCATGCTCGGCTCGTTTTTTTACGAGCCCGAGCGGCTCGTGGGCGTGAACAGTACGAGCTGAGCGGGCGAGCCAACGAGCCGCTCGGCTTATTTGCCACCACTAGATAGAGATGAATGAAATGATAATAAATGGGCAATGCCTTGACGACGTCGTTTCATAATCTATTTCAGCAAAAAAAAAATTATTATTATTATATAGGGAGATAGCATAGATTATGTTATGTGTCAAATTTTTATTTGCTACACAATTTTTATTATTATATGAGAACATTAGTAATAGTAGTGGAATTTGAAATTTTCATTAAGGGCATTTTGGTCTAAATTATAGTAAAATAGACATGTAAAAATTTTTGGACAGCAAATGGTCATGAAAAATTGGACATTTTTTGAAATTTCCACTTTTAATATACACCTATCAGGGACTCTTGTATAGGAAATTGAATGATAATTTTTTATTCTCCCTTGTACTCTACAAACAATATGAAATATCATCAAAACTTTAATTTTAAACTCATTAAGTTAATAAGACACATAATTAATCTAAAGTCCATGGTTTACGGGTTCTATGGATGAAATTTTGCAAAATGGTCTGTTAAGTAATACGACTGTTTCAAAACAATTTCAACACCACAATAGGGCACGTAAAATGACCACAAGGCTTGTCGATATCTTTGCATTTTTTGGAAAAAAGAAATGCCACTAAAAAACTAAAATAATCACTTATCCAAAAGAAATATATTTAAAATAAACTTGTATATGGTCACGAAAGACTAGGAAATTATAATTACAAAGAGTAAGAGCCTAAAGTTTGCTTTTTAGCATAGTCAGAAAATGACTCAAGCAAGGTTCACACGAGTCTCAAGCCTAGGATACATATATGGTGACAGCAGTTCACCTCATTTAATAACTCAAAAAAATAAAAATGAATGGAATAGCACAATTTTTACCATTCATCATTTTTAAGTAATAATCTTTTTAATTTATTTATTATTATCCCATAAAGTGTAATATAAACAAGATTACTTGAAATTATCAACGTGTGACAATTTAATGAATTTTATTTATTTATTTTTATATATTTTACTGAAAATGACTAAGTGCTTATGACTAGATAATTTTTAAAATTGATTTTTTTTTTGTAGAATATGTGATAGAAAAGTGATTTATTTGAGAATATGTGATCAATACTTAGGGAAAAATTATGATGCTATGTTAAAATGATGTTTTAAGAATGTATAATTGAAAATGAGTGTCGAAAAAATTTAATTTCAAATAATCACTTCTACACAAGTAATAATAGTCAAAAAGGTTTCACTTAGCACAACTTACACTTTGGCAATGTGTCTCAGGCTTGAGTTTTGTGGCTCCTCGTTTTGATATTGTTAAGTTGGCCAAGAGCCATTGAAAAAACTATTTATTAAAATTTAGCCTCCGACTAGCAAATTTATTAATGGTTCATAAAGAGAAATAATGTTGAATTCCATGAAAAATACGGATAATAATGAGTATTAGATATGAATAGAAGGTTGAAACTAATGTTTGACTTTTACTGAAATTATGAATCATTTAAAAATTGTTATCCAAATAGAGATTATGAGAAATAGAAAAATGACAAATGTTATTTGAATCGATAACTCGTAAAGTTTTTTTTTTTTTTTTTTTTTTTCAGTACTAGTGCATCTCAATTGATACATTTGTGTATATATATATATTTTTAGTTAAAGGAGAGCGGTACCTCCGAGATTTTATTAATCTGCTCTCACTTGTGGCGGAGGAATACCGTGGTTACATGAAAGAATTGAAAGCAATAAATGAGGAAGTACTAGTTCCTTTACAATAAAAATAAATGACGAAGATTTAAGCGGTAAACGAGAAAGTACTACTTCCTTTACAATAAGAACTAATGCAAATTAAGGCAAAAATAGGAATTGAAAATAAAAATCAAAATTAAAATCTGGCCCTGGGCAATCCATGTCTGTCAGTTTGTACTAGTGTCCTAATATCTCGTGGTAGGTCACGTAGTCCGTATATCTGATATCGTCGATGATCACAACCCTCAGCATCAAGAGCATCTGCAACCTGATTTCCTTCTCTGTAAATGTGAGGAACCGTGTCTCTATCTAAGGATATAATATATGTGATACGTCTGAGTATACCCTGAATAGCCCATGGTCCTCCTCTTCTAGTGATACCGTGAATAGCTACTATAGAATCAGACTCTACCCAAATCGCTGAAAGCTCAAGTCCATGAGCTAGTAAAATCCCATCAAGAATAGCCTGGAGCTCTGCCTCTAAAATCAAGCATGGTTCATACGAAGCTGAGAAAACCATAATATAGTGTCCTGCGTGGTCTCTGATGATGCCTCCCCCACTCGCAAAACCATCCTTATCGCATCCATCAGTATTGATCTTAACAGATCTAATTGGTGGAGTACGCCACCAGACTAGAATATGGAGAGATGGAGAAGGGGGTCCATAAAAATACCAAATATGGGTGCAAGTTCAAGCATGGTTCATACGAAGCTGAGAAAACCATAATATAGTGTCCTGCGTGGTCTCTGATGATGCCTCCCCCACTCGCAAAACCATCTTTAATGCATCCATCAGTATTGATCTTGACAGATCCGATTGGTGGAGTACGCCACCAAACTAGAATAGGGAGAGATGAGGAAGGGGGTCCATAAAAATACCAAATATGGGTGCAAGTGTCAAATCCCCTCGCCAATGCATCACACGAAGCAATCCTCCCATATGAAAAAAGGAGATCACGCGATAAACCTTCCAAATGATACGTTTAGCAACAATGCGAATCCCCCTATACTTCGCATCATTTCTTGCGGTCCATAGGTACCAAAATATCAGTAGAGGAATGATAATGCGAATGTGTACACAATGAACATAATGTCCAGAATATCTCCATCGCTGGAATCTATGTCCGACTCCCTCTCTTGAACTCATAGGTATCTGAAAAATATCTCCAAAATGCTGCCATACCTGATTGGAAATGCTACTGCCAATGAAAATATGATTGATAGTCTCAATCTCGGAACAACACTGACAGCGAGAAGCCACCTTTGTATATAAGATACTGTATACAATCTTACAAATTGAATTAAGATAATTAATTTTTTAGTATTTTCATGATCTTCATCCTTGTGTTTTTCATGAGAAATTGAATTTAGATCATTAATATTATAGCATTGTTCAAAAAAATTTAAAATTGTCATGATCTCCATCATTCTTGAGTTTTTATGAGACATTCAATTGTTAAATACTCGAAGCTGTGAGAAATTGGATGTATACAATTTTCTTTAACTGACATAAAATTTGGCAGAGTATATTGGGGCAACCTTATTAGTAATTAACTTGTTACATAATTTGGTTATATAATTTTGGGTATAGCAAATTTTTAATATATATTACTATAAAATAT